CATAAAGACACACAGGGTATATACTCACTCATAAGTGGATACTAGACATATAATATAGGATAAACCTACTAAAATATGTGCACCTAAAGAAACTAATCAAGAAGGAGGACTGTGACTAAGATGCTCAATCCCCATTCAGAAAGTCAAAGAGGATGGATATCAGAAGAGGGAAAAAAACAGGGAACAGGACAGGAGCCTACCACAGAGTGCCTCTGAGGGGCTCTACCTTGCAGGGTAATTTTTTTAAATCCTGAGTTTAACAATTACAAAAATCGTAAGTTTTTTTTTTTTCTGTTTGAAAAAGTTACACATATTTATAAGAAGCTCAGAATATACACTGGTTAAAAGTTTTTAACTATTAGTAGTTCTATGTCTCAGAGCAATTCATTGCATTTGTTTACATTTTAATGCACACAAACTTTTGAAACCAGTAACTACATATATGTAATAGACTTTTTAAAATATCTAATAAACATTGCGCTTGAGAATAAAACTTTAAAATGTCATAAAGCTGGCTGGAAGCTGGTGTGGCGGCACACGCCTGTAATTTCAGCACTTAGGGAGGCAGAAGCAGGTGGATCTCTGTGATTTTGAGGCCAGCCTGGTCTACAAAATGAGTCTGGGACAGCTAAGGCAACACAGAGAAACCCTGTCTTGAAAACAAAACACAAAACAAAACAAAATAAAACAAAAAGCTGGCTGGAAATGCAGCTCAGTCAGTACAATGCTTGTCTAGCATACATGAAGCCCCGGCTATAATCCCTACCACCATATAAACCAAGTATGGTAATATATGCCTGTAATCCTAGTACTCAGTGGATGGAATCAAGAGAGCCAGGAGTCTTCCATCATCCTCAGCTACGTGGAGTTTGAGGCAATGCTGGCCTCCATTAGATAAACTATCTCAAAAAATGAAATGAAAATAAAATCTAGAAAATGTTTCTGTGTTGTGTAGGAGAACTTTGGGGGGCTACTTTATTGGATTCTTATATCTACCACCCTACTCCACCCCACCTCTTCAGACTACTTCCTGCTGATCCCGGATGTTGGATTTCTAAGGGCAAGTCTATTTTTTGTCCTCAGGATATCTCCATCCAACAACTGGTAATCCAGCAAACACAACAGCAACAGTTGCAGGGGCAGGAAACAGGAGCAGCAGCAAGGGCAGCAGCCATCACAGGTCATCACAGGCCATCTCAGGCTCAGAGCCTCTCCTTTATATCTTCTTCAGAATCCCCAGAATTAAACTATCTGCAGCTGGCAAAATCACTCCTCTCCTAGAGCATGAGACAATCATAGTTAAAGGCTGTGGATAAACTGAAGCAGCTCCATACCACACACCTGTGATGAAAACAAAAACAGATTCACATAGCATAACCGTTTTTTGTTTTTTTTTTTAAAGAAACCAGAATTCTCACTACAATGTCAGTCATTTCTCACTAAATTATTTGGGGAGTAGAAAGGTAGCTGAATCTTGAATGCGTGATGGAAAGAGGTAGGCTAGTAATTGGTGACATTTTCTCCTGTTTGAAAGTCAATAACAAAAAGTATAATAAATGGAGGGAGAGATAAAAATTTATAGATAAATTTCTCATGTCTTAGATAAATAGTAAGGACAATATCATATAAAGAAATGCCATTATATAAATTATTATTATATTGAATTATAACTTTAGCTTCATATGAAATGACTTTATTTTGTAGCTAACTTAGGTTGTTAGATAATATGTAGTCTCAAATAAAGGCCCAGAACCATAAGGTAGTCGTAGCCTTGAGCTACTCATGAAATGTGTGGGGGTCTCTCCTTTTCCATCCTCCTTCTAGACCACGGAAGGGAAGGAAGCAGGATCTTGGCAGGTGAAAGGCAGAGGCAGGGCGTGTCTAAGGGTGCTCCCTGCCACTCTCCTACTAAAGCCCTGTGTCAGACAGTCTGTAGCCGTTGCTACACCGCCCCTTCCCACTGTGCTTCTCCTTGGTCTCCATTTTCCGTGCAACATGTCCCAGAAACTAGTATATGATGCTGCTGTCTCCACCGTCACCCCAAACTAAATGCGCTCAGTCTGGAGTCTTTGCTCAGAACTTGCCATTCCTCTGTGGTTAAACTGTTAACCACCATTCAATATGTGCTGGTGGCCACTGAGGGAGACATTGGGATGAGTAAAACTATTCACAGTGAGGCGCAACAGGAAAGAGACTACACGTTCCTTAAAGGAACTTCCTCTAAACATGACTTCAGTGCTCTTTCCCCAGGAAGATCATTGTTTTTGACAAAGACCAGGGAGTAAACTGATTCTTTGAAATTGCTCCCCATTGACTTTCTACAGTTCAGCATCCTCTTCATGATCTGTCCCCATTGAGATTGCACAGCGGTTTGTATGTAAGAAAACAAGTGACTTAACAAATACACATTTTCCTGTGATGTTGACACTGTTGCTCATGGCCCTGAACTGTTACAATTAAAACATTTTTACTTAACTTTTTAAAACTCAAGGTTATTTTTATCCCTTCAGGTTGATATTTTACTGATTTTAGTTTTAATTCCATCGATGTTTTATAGGTGAAACCAAAAAGATCGCCATTTTAACCATTTTGGATGATGCTGAGCCAGAAGATGATGAAAGTATCCTCATTGGTTTGGTGAACACTGAAGGTGGAAGCAGAATTCTGCCCAGCTCTGACACTGTGAGAGTGAACATCGTGGCCAATGACAATGTGGCAGGAATTGTCAGTTTTCAGACAGCGTCCCGATCCGTCATCGGCCATGAGGGTGAGTCCCTTTTATTGATGAACACAGTCTTTCTTATTTCCACAGATGTTACTTTTTGTTTTGTGTTCTGAAGCTCCTGTGTTTTTTTTTTTTTCTTTCTTGTTTTGTTGCACTGTTTTTAATCTGTGTAACACTTCATTTAGACGAGGGCCGCCTGGTGTGCATTTCGTATCAGGGGTGTGAGCCTCACAGACACAGTGGGGGAACTGGTGACCCCATGGCTGGCGTGTGCGAGCCTCAAAGCTGGAAGGCTTGGCCTTCTCCTCTGCTAACTCACAAACCAGTGCAGACTTCAGAGAGTTCTCTGGGAGGAGACGTGAACTGTAAACTGTGAAGTGCTTCATGCAGCTTTGGAAAGTGTACGCAATATGTGTGCTTTGCACCTGCTGCTTTTAAACGATAAAAGACCGAATTTTGGAAATATTCATAATTAGTGAACATTTTGGCCTTGACTTTCTAATTTACTGTAGTTTATGAACAGAATGCCATTGTAGATAGCCTGATACAGTGTTCTTTGTCTTAAAGACAATAATTTCTCTGCATCTTTAGTATTCCATGTCACATACAAGCTACTTTTTTGTTTGATTAGAATATTACAATGATGGTATTTTTTAATAGACCTGTTTTTAAATTAATGAAACACTACAGAATGCACTTCACCACACAGTTTGAATCCTGTAATTAAAACAATCCTACTGTAAGGACTTAGGAGATGACAATGACATGGCTCATATATTTGGACCTCTTCAGAGGAAAGCACAAAGCTGAGACACACAGGTCACCTGACCTGGTGGGCCGAGGAGCTGGTTCGTGGCTGTACTGGAAACCTGACGTGCATCAGTGTGCATCTCCTGTCTCAGTGATCTATACTTCCCACTTGCAAGTTTGTTGAACTTATCTCAATGTGTGAGCCCTTTGCTGACACTCTTTACTTTTATTAATGGTTTAGAATTGTGTCTTGTCACTCCAATGAATAAAAGTTACTCATAAATTGTCACAAATCTACTGTGAAGAAAAATCACTAACATAAAAAATTATTTGTAGTGACAGTTAAAATGCCACTGTAGGACTCCTTAATAATGCTGACAAGTTTGTGGAGTTGTCTGTGTGCCGGATCCGCTCCCATTAGTTCCTTATTTTAGCAGCAGCCTTCTGCGATGCCCAGTGTAGGATATCATACACTCTGCCTAAAGAGACAGCATCTGAGGTCAGTAGTAGAAGTTCACTCCAGGGCACTGCAGTCCAAAGCTGCGCCACAGGGGAGCTCACCCCAGACAGTTTTGCCTGGAATTGTGTTTGCTGCAGAACCCGACAGCACAGGAAATTATGACATTTGAAGTGATTTTATTTGCAGGACTGATAAATCTGAGTAGCCCTGTCTTTCTGAAAGAAAGACATCAGAAAGAGAACCTCGCTCTATCTCTATTTAAAGTTGGCTTTCATTGATGTCATGGACTGAGAGGAGAAGCCAGATGCTAGAATGGAGCGATGTGGGACAGCAGGCTAAGGTGCTGGTGAGGAAGACTATGTGACGGGGAAGGCGCAGAAGAGACCCAGGAGAAAGGAGAAAGCCATCAAGGCAAGGGCAAGGGCAGCAGTGACAGCAGGATTAAGGGAGAGTCCCGGCGTAAGAAGTAACTAAATGACTAAGTGATTTAGCTGTCTGTGCTGGGTTCAGCCTAGAGTGTGGTTATCCTTAGAGCAAGTTCTGCCTGAAGTTTTCTGCTAGTGGGCCACGACAGGATGAGAAAGAAAGCTTGTGATGGTCTCAGCCCTGCTGTGATAATGATCCCATCTCGGGTCCCACCATCAGAGTGCAGAACTTGTGGCTACATAGGTCATTGCTCCTAGCTTGGGAACCGACTAACTGCTAAAGGGGCATAGCACTGAATGAACTCGCAGCGACATGCTGTTACCCCCATATATAGTGCATCGCTCGACCCTTATCAGAGAAGCTGCTTTTTGCAGCAGACGGTGATTAATACAGAGACCACAACTGGCCAAGGCACATAAGAGTGAGAGACTGCTGAACACTCAGCCTTAAGCGGGACATCAGCAAAGCACTACCTTCCTCCAAGGTTCAGGGATCATTGTGAAGAGAGGACAGGACTATTCCAAGAGCCCGAGGCTGTGGGTAACTAAAACAGGGGTGTGTTCTGGACACAGTTGCACATATGAATCCACACTGGTTGTGACAGCTGCAAGTCCTCCATAAGCTCAAGTCCCCTAAAAGGCCATCAGGAGGAGGGGAGGAAGACAGGGTCCTACCCTGCTTGGAGAGAGCACAGCTGTATTCCCAAGCATGTATTACCATCACTGACTGAACTGCATGACTTCTACATTTCCATCTATTATTTATTTATTTACTTACTTACTTATTTTTGAAACAAATTTTGCCGTAAAGAATTGGCCCTCCTACTTACTTACTTGCTCAACTCTGTAGGCCAGGCTGACCACAAACTCATGGAAAGTCACCTGCTTCTGCCTCTTGAGTTCTGGGATTGAAGTCAAATGTTTCCATACCCTACTAGACTTTTTTAAGGAAGACATAAGGCTGACTGCACTAGATGGGGTGGGTCTGGGAGGAACAGGAGAGAAAGAAACAACCACAAACAAATACACCCAGAAGGCAATGTGTGAAGTTTCCCATTTAATTAAAATGTGTATCAGACGCATTGTAAAGCACATTCCCCCAGAGTGAGTGCAGTCACCCAGATAGCGGTGGGAGGAGAGAAAAGTACAAAGGTCATCGGAGTGATGGCAGGATCTGCAGTCTTCTCCAACCTTTGTCTTCCTGCGTCAGACTGCTGAGCCTGTGTAAACACGGGAAACAAAGAAGAGAGAGCTCCAAGGAAGGATCTTATCTCTAAACAAACAAAAACAAACAACCTACAACAACAAAGGCACAGTTTGAAGACAAACAGATTTCTTTGGAAAAAAGCAAACTTTGGCTGTGATGATAGCTTTGAGAACTGCGTGTACTTACCACAATTTTCCTCCCTCTTGGGACTCATTTATTTCTGGAGTTACAGCAGAGGGAGCAGAGTTTCTATCTGTTCATGTAATCACCATACTTATTTAATGAGAATAATCTGCAGTCCCTTCAGACTGTCTTTGACTTTATCTTTTAAATAACCTTCGGAACATACACACACAAGCGTGCACGCGTAGGTGTGCAAGCCCACACACACACACACACGTGTCCCACAGCCTTGGGTGGCTATGTGAACTTCATTTTTTCCAGATTTTTTTCCATTTTCCATATGATTTTTCTGTAGACCCTGGAAGGTGAGGTCATGCCTCAACAAGATAAGGAAGATGGTTCAGGATCCAATGAAATGTTTGCATCTGAAAATCAGAACATGTTCTCTCTCAGGCTGCCCTCTGGTCAAAGCCCTCGGTCTGTTTTTTCCTTTTACCGTGTCTGTTCTTTGCCGCCTTTGGGATATGAAGTTAACTTTTTCCAGGAGACAATTTCAGTGGCTCTTGGGAGTCTTCCTGAAAGGGGCAGAATGGAGTCCTTCATTTTCGTTATAGTTAGAGAAAATGTTCACGCTATTTTGTCTCCTGACATGAGAAGTGTTCCTAAGATGTTTGAGACTATTTGGGGAAGAAATGCCTTTTACTTCTGTGTGGGTAGCAAATTCAAGCTCTAAATTGTGTTTGTGTGGACAGGTAATTTCGACAGTAGGTATTTACAAAGTACTGCTAGACGTTGAGTGTTTTGTATGAGGAAGGCTGAAGGAATGCTTTTATTTGTTTTCCTCTTCTGTGCATTTTATCTTTACCTTCACCACAGAATGGTGGCTTTGCTCCCACGTGCTTGTATACAAATTTACAACCTCATTCTTTTATAGGATTCCCTTCAATGTGGGTGGTCATTGACCCCCCGTATGTGTTCTTTTTTTGCTTTATTTCCATTTATTTGCACTTCATGAAATTACCAGTATTTTTGAATTAGTATTGGGCTTTGTGATTCTGAAAATTTGTGAACCATGATTCTAGAACCGTTGTCACTCACTGACACTGGGTGTTGATAGGTACAAAGGTCTCCTGTGCCTGCAGTACAGATGTTCCCCAAGAGTCACTCTGTGCTGGACACAGGGCACTCTGTAGGAGCATGTTTGTGCTTGTTCACATGGCTTATGCAAATGTAAAACATGTTAAATGATGCTCAGGCAATTATGGCTGATGGTATACTTTCAGTTATTCTTAATTTGTTGAATATTCTCTGCATGATCAACAATTCCCATGTGTTAAACAAGAAAACAATCAAAGACATGGTCTGCCAAGTAGTGTTGACTAAATAATTTTGTATTAAAATAATATGTATTTGAAAACATCTCTGGTGTTTTTACCTTCTTATAATTTCTGACTGTTTCCAAGTAGTTCATTTTAACAAGTTTTAGTGTTTAGTCTTAGCGTTAAAATTTTATTTTGTTTTCCTGATAATTTTTAGATTATTATTACATTATTATTTACAATTTATTCACTTTGTTTCCCAGTTGTAGCCCCCTTCTTCATCCCTTCCTGGTTCCACCCTCCCTCCCTCTTCCTCCCCTATCCCTCTCCTCTAGTCCACTGATAGGGGAGGTCCTCCTCCCTTTCTATCTGACCCTAGCCTAGCAGGTCCCATCAGGACTGCCTGGATCCTCTTCCTCTGTGGGCTGGCTAGGTCACCACACCAGGGAGAAGTGATCAAGGAGTAGGCAATAAATGAATTAAGTCATGATATTTTAATTTAAGAAATTTCTATTAAAAATACTATTTTGAGGTCTGAAGCTGTAGCTCAAGAGGGGTGGAGGGAGGGTCTATCCAGCAATACCAAAAATAAAAATAAAGAGAAAGAAGTGTGTGTTTACATTAATTATGTTTAAAAGCTTAGAAACGTGCTAGTTTGAAAAACTATTAGAACGTGGAGTTTATATTTCATTTCTACTCTTGCTGGAAATGTGTTAGAAGATAACTAATATACCCAAAAGCTACTTTTAAAGGGGAGTTTTAAGTTAATATTTGGGAACTTTGTAATACAAACTGCAAACAGTCTTACAGCCATTTAAAATAACACTGCTTCCCATTTCATCATAACTTTAATGAGGTTATTCATAGTTCATTTTTAAAAGATAATCATAAATTTAATCCATCAAATTATTTGTATTAAACATTTGTTGTGTAATAGTTTTTTTCTTTTAATTTTTTTTATTTTTAATTACACTTTATTTACTTTGTATCCCCCTAGGGGGATACAAAGGGGCCCTCCTCCCCTCCCAATCCCTCTCTTCCTCCACCTTCTGCATGCATGCCCCCCCCCCCCCAGCCCACTGATAGGGGAGGTCTTTTTTCCTTCCTTCTGAGCCTAGTCAATTAGGTCTCATCAGGAGTGGCTGCATTGTCTTCTTCTGTGGCCTGGTAAGGCTGCTCCCCACTCAGGGAGAGGTAATTAAAGGGCAGGCCAATCAGTTCATGTCAGAGACAGTCCCTGTTCCTATTATCATAGTTCATTTTAACTGGGGTTTGTCATATGAAGAATTAGGAATTTGAGCATAGTTTTAGCAAGCCATTTGGCCATCAGTATAACTCCAAGTACCTTCCTTCTCCCTTTTAACAATTTCAAAGAAACGACTCTGATAATTTTCTTCAGTTTTATAAAATGTTACGTGTTGATAAAAGCCAAGAAAGGAAAATAGCTATCCAGTTATTAGGGAATGTTAATGTGACTGTGGTGACGTTATAGATACCTGCTGATGGTCAGATTTGACACTTTTCCTTGTGTTTCCTTCTATAAAACAAAATGGCTGGTGGTATACGTAAGTTGCAACCTAAACAAATGTAATTTTCAGGTATCTGCAAGCATTTTTTTTCATGCATTGTGTAAAATCACATTGCCTGCTGGTGTAAGGAATTTGTGTCCCTTTGGGGAGATGAAGGAAACAATTCACATGTGTCCTGACTAGTTGACAGTGGAGACATTACAGCGCACCTGTGCTCAGGTGCAGGCTTTGGAGTGCTTACAAGTTTCCTCCCCACTTTACCAGCTGCCTTCTCCACTTTTGTAACAATTCTTGTATCTCCTGAAGTTCTGCCCACAGAAAGCACTTGGAAGTAGGCTGTTTGTGCAAATGAATAACAAGCATGTGTAAAGCAGCTAGAAAATAAACAACAGAAGGAACAGCTCTGTTACTCTTGGGAAAAAACCCACAGTGGTTGCATGCTCCAGTGTGGGTTTTGCTGAGTTTTAGCATCACATTCATTTCCGTGAAGTGCTTGTTAATCTGTATTTTTATTTTATCTTATTAATTATACTTTATTCACTTTGTATCCTCCCCGTAAGCCCCTCCCTCTTCCCCTCCCAGCCCCACACTTACTCCCCCTTCTTCACGCCTGCCTTTCCCCAAGTCCACTGATTGGGGAGGTCCTCCTCTGCTTCCTTCTGATCTTAGTCTATCAGATCACATCAGGAGTGGCTGCATTGTCATCTTCTGTGGCCTGGTAAGGCTGCTCCCCCCTCAGGGGGAGGTGATCAAAGAGCAGGCCAATCAGATTATGTCAGAGGCAGTCCCTCTTCCCATTACTATGTAACCCACTTAGACACTAAACTGCTATGGGCTATATCTGTGCAGGGGTTCTAGGTTATCTCCATGCCTGGTACTTGGTTGGAGTACGAGTCTTTGGGAAGATCCCTGTGTTCAAATTTTCTGGTTCTGTTGCTCTCCTTGTGGGATTCCTGTCCTCTCCAGATCTTACTATTTCCCACTTCTTACATAAGATTCCGGGCACTCTGCCCAACAGTTGGCTATAAGTCTCAGCATCTGCTTTGATAGTCTGCAGGGCAGAGCCTTTCAGAGGCCCTCTGTGGCAGGTTTCTAGCTTGTTTCCTGTTTTCTTCTTCTTCTGATGCCCATCCTCTTTGCCTTTCGGGATGAGGATTGAGCATTTTAGTCAGGGTCCTCTCTCTTGATTAGTTTCTTTAGATGTACAGATTTTAGTAGGTTTATCCTATGTTATATGTCTATATGAGTGAGTATATACCGTGTGTGTCTTTCTGCTTCTGGGACAGCTCACTCAGGATGATCCTTTCTAGGTTCCACCATTTACCTGCAAATTTCATGATTTCCTTGTTTTTCATTGCTGAGTAATACTCCATTGTGTAGATGTACCACAATTTCTGCATCCATTCTTCAGTTGAGAGGCATCTGGGCTGTTTCCAGCTTCTGGCTGGAAATACAAATAAAGCTGTATTTTTTACTTGCAGGAGAAGTTTTGCAGTTCCATGTGGTAAGAACTCCCCCTGGTCGAGGAAATGTCACTGTTGACTGGAAAATTGTTGGACAAAATCTAGAAGTCAATTTTGCTAACTCTACAGGTCAACTCTTCTTTTCTGAGGTAACACCACAAAGAAAAGTTTTGCCATATGATTTTCAAAGAAAATGCAGCATTTTTAGGAAAGCCGGGTAGAAAATGATTACCACTAAACTGTACTTATCATCCTTCTCTTCACTTTACGCTCACCATTGAGGTAACTAACTTTTGCCTTCATTTTTACTTCTTTGATGTAGAGCCAAAGCCCAGTTGCTGTTGCTTTGGGTGCTGGGTTGAGCATCTAATAACTGGAACCCCATGGTATTGTTGTCCTCTTTTCTCATTTTTTTCTGCCATCACTTCTGCAAAGATCTCTTCATGTTACTGCTCTCTCATATACAGCCATCATTGGCTAAGATTTAAATTGGCTCAGCATTCAATTTAATAACAGTCCCGAGTTAGTTTCTCTATGCTTTAAATCTGACATCTCAAGTAAACGGTTTCTGTTTAATTAATTTCTAAGACAATGTTTGACTGCACGCTGAGTGCAGTGACAGCACAACGTGGTGTTTCTCTTTGTCCGGCATAGGGGACGTTGAATAAAACGATATCTGTACATTTGTTGGATGACAATATTCCTGAGGAGAAAGAAGTTTACCAGGTTGTTCTGTATGATGTCAAGACACAAGGTAATTTAGACATAGTTTTTTAAATTATCTTTGGTGTTTTCATTTCTGACAAGTAGGTAGTGCTTACTAAAAGAAAGTTACTTTGGAGCCAGCACGGTGCTGTACATCTGTGATCTTTGTGCTCAGAAAGCTGAGGCAAGAAGATTATGGGGTTGGGCTCACATTGTAACTGTCAGGCAATCTAGAACTACAAAGTGAGATCCTGTCTTTGAGGAAATGTTACTTTAAATATTAGCCATCTCACAGAAATAGTATATTGAAAAACTATTAGGCAGCATCTGTAGAAAAGGACTCTGAAAGTTTTGCTATATAGGGTTGGGGAGATGGCTCAATGGGTAAAGTGCTCGCATTGAAACTGTGACAATCTGGCCTCAGACACCCAGAACCCAAAGCTGAACATGGTTGTACTTATCCATAATTCCAAGCAGTCCTACAGCAGGGTGGGAGGCAGAGCAAAGAAAGTCTTTGGGAGCTCCCAGGCCAGCTAGCCTGTCATAGGTGAACAACAAAAGACATTGTCACAAGCGTGGTAGAAGGAGGGGACCAAAACCCATTTTCTATTGATGTCTGCATGTGCCCTGCCCCAGCACATACATGCATGGACCACCACCAGCCACACACAAACAAATGTTAAAAAGGAAAGATTGAAAATGTTTTTGATGCTGCTATACAGAGGTTAGCTTTCTGAGACAAGGTCCTGCTATGTAGCTGAGGCTAGCCTCAACTTCACTGTGTAGCCCACGATGTCTTCAAACTCATGATCTTCTTTCCTCAGCTTAACGTGTTATTCACCGTAGTTGACATGTTGGATAGTTATTTGTTGAATAAAATGTATTTAGAAAGATAAAAAATTTGAATTTGGTTTTATGTTAGAAAACCAATTTAAATTTTGAAACATTACTGTTAGATAATTTATCCTTGGGTAGGTTATTCCCTGCTTATTAAGTTCTAGAATTCAGATAGCCAATGAACATAGAAGAGTTCACACTTTGTTGTCTGGGACATGGATTCCCAGTCAGCCGAAGGCTTTCTGGGAGGGACATGGGGGCGATTGGTCTTCGAGGTCTCAGCAAACGTGTAAGCGCTTCAGGATTTTGAACATACCCTTGACTCCTTGATGGGCTGTCTGGTTTTTTAGGAGTCCTGCCAGCAGGCGCTGCTCTGCTTGATGCCCAGGGCTACGCAGCTGTCCTCACCGTGGAAGCTAGTGACGAACCACATGGCGTTTTAAACTTCGCTCTCTCCTCAAGATTTGTGATGCTCCAGGAGGCTAATATAACCATTCAGCTCTTCATCAACAGAGAGTTTGGCTCTCTAGGTTTGTGTTCCTCTGGAGTAAGTGGTGAATGGGGTTTTTATTTTTAAAATTATATTTGTGTGGATGAAGCCAGTGGAAATGTAAACCCTCAAGGGAAAATGACGTTTAGGACAGTGCTATGTGACTTCTCTTTTTTTACGGAAGTTAAAGGAATGATGTATTTTCATGGAAAGGCTGTGTTCTGCACAGCCATTCGTCCTAAGAGCAGAGAATAACAAGCTTCTCTGGGTCTCTGGGTTGGGCTCAGCCTAGGTGGCTTTTCTTCATATCTCTCATTATCCTTCTGGGATAAGCAAATACACAACAAAACAAAGGAAAGTATGGCCTGCCCTCAGGTGTACGCTTAAAATTACTGCATCACTGCTTTCACCCAAGTACCATAGCCAAACTTCGAGTCCTAAGGCTTGTGTCTTCACAACAGTGGGACATCTCTGTGTTGTTACATGTGAACGAGTGTGACATTAGGACCAGTACTAGAACTGACAGTAATAGGGAAGAATTCACAGTGAGACATTTTTTTAAAGTCTCCACAATCATAATTTTTTTTCAACAAATTCTCTCAGGAGCAATCAATGTCACGTATGCCACTGTTCCCGGAATACTGAGTCTAAGAAACGGAACAGACGGGAGCCTAGCAGAGCCAGACGTTGACTTTGTCCCTGTGCTGGGTTTCCTGGTTTTAGAAGAAGGGGAAACGACAGCAGCCATCAATATCACTATACTTGAGGTAAGCATGGTAGCTCCATGATCTTCTATTAAACTAAATAATCACACAGAAAGTAGAAATGGATAGACTATTCTGGGTATAACCTAAACTGTAAAATGTGGTGAGAGAATTCTAACAACCTTGTATTTCATGATGACTAAGATTATGTAACACTTTTTACTTGTCTCTATATTAAATTTTATTGTTTATTATTTTTAAACTTTCTTTAAAACTTGAAAACTCTACAGCACTTAGAGATTTTAGGAGTCTGTCTGGCTTGTCTCCTCTACTGGTGGCACTGCATCAGGTTATTGCTTTTCCTGATGTTTTTTATTGTTTTCAAATCATCCAGGAGTTTGCATTTGTGTTTAGATCGGCCAGCCTGCTGTCGTGTATTCTGTTATGGAAACGCTGTGTGAGAGATAACTTCCTTAGGATGCTTTCCTGTACAGCAGCTCTGGCCTAGGAGGTTCCATGGGAGCATTTTGGTAACGCCAAAGGATTCACTGGGCCAGCAGATTCATGCAGGTCTTAGCATCTCAGATTAGTTAAATCAGAGAGAGAGGGACTCTCTAGAGGCTGATGGCAGAAAACAAGGTTAGGGTCAAATCTAGTCAGTGGTGACTGATATTGCACCTTAAATGAGTTTTCATGCTGTGAAATCTTGTGTGTGGAAATTTGTGGTTCAGCTATGTAAATGTGCTGCTAGGGAGTGATGGAAAGAATACTGTAAACAGAAAAGGTAAAGACTGTATAATAGGCACAGAAGGACTGTGCATTTGAAAATACATTCCTGTTGTTTTGTATTTGCAATTTCAGTTTTAAAGCTTTTATTCTGTTAGCAACTTCTTGTACAAAGTTTTCAAAGTTATTTGTAGCATAAGCTCTACCCCCTGTGAGGTTATTTGTTATTTCCTCTGTGGTCTATTGCAAAGCGAGAACTCCAAATCCAAGAACAAAAGCTGTTATCATGTCCGTGTGTAACAGGATCTGACCAAACATCTAAACATACCATCATAAATGCCTGATCTATAAATGTAACTAATTACATGCCATAAATACACTACACACACACCCAGATTTCTCCCTACTTAAAGTAGAAATATATGCCTCAACTTCCTCTTCCAAGTCTAGTTTTCTAAGTATGGATTTTTCCTTGCATTGCCTTTTATTTTTCTCATTTTCAACCCTTGTTCTCTGGGTAGTGCTAGATTAAAACCCAGCAGGCCTGACATGCAGAAGCAAGCCACTGTGAGGTGTGGGAAGAGTGTGTGGGGGGGAGGGTTGTTGCTCACGTTTGTCCAGATACTCATGGCTGTTTAGAGACTAATCTTCAACTTCTTTTTTTCTCACATGGAAACATATCTCAGATAAGATGAAAAGCACATTGAATGTACATATTTTAGGCATATATTTACACACATACACATAAATACATATGTATGCACATACCACACAAACACCATACACATAAACACACACACACACATGCACACACATACATACAATGCTGTAAATATTCATGGCCTGCTAGTCACACTTGACATGGTTTGGCTACTCCTGTTAGGCTATCTTCTTTGTTTTATTGTTAATTGTGGGACTATTGAGTAATAATAACTATCACTTTCAATGGATGTTTTGAAGCTGGCTATTTTAAATATTTTTAAATTATTACCAATACACTATGCCATTGTGATTATTAATTCTCCATAACAAACATGGTAGACTTGAGGCTTGGGGCTATAAACAGCTCACCTTAAAATCCAGAGGTCAGCCTCAGCCTTTCTATTGCAGAGCTTAAATTACTTCCTTCTGAACAGTGGATATTAAGGAAATCGAACATTTTTTTGCTTATGCTGTATTGAAAATAGTTAGGTTCACATAGATAGTTGGTTTGCTTATAAACTGTGTTTAAAGTGTTATAATTTTGAGGTGGTTTCATAGTGTTCAACCTAATAACTTCCATATATAATTTGATACTGTTATTTTTATTTTCTCTAACTTAAATAGTTTTACTCTGAGCTTATATGTTCTATTGTGTTTGTACATATGCATTTGTAATATAGTTTAAAACAGCTTATGAGGAATAATTCCTTTAAAGCATAATTAAAACCCTTTTAATGACTTTAATTTTTGCAGGATGATATGCCAGAGCTAAAAGAGTATTTCTTGGTGAACTTAACTCATGTTGATCTCATTATGGCTCCTCTAACTTCATTTCCTCCCAGACTAGGTATGGTAGCTCCCTTTTGTGACTCGTTTTGCTAACTTCAAGTAACTTCATTTTTTTAAGCAGAAGTGTTCATTGTTTTGTTTGCTAATTTTAGCCAAGTGTGAAAATACGATGAGCTTTTAGAATAATTAGAATTATTCTATTTTAGAGACTATCATTGCAGTTTTGTAGGGCAGTATAAAGGCAGTAATTATTGTGATGTTCTTTGAATTTTACAACTGTGTTATAGCCAATTCTGCAGTCTGCAAGGTAGTATTACTTTTTTCAAATGCATTTTCTTTCATTTTCTTTTAAAAATGCAATTAGCTATTTTCGTAAGCTGTTCACTTTATTTTCTTTTATGTTAAACACTTGTTTTGTTCATTCTGCTTCTTGCTTCTATTCTGACCTTTGATCTTTTTCTTTTTACACTTTTAGAAAACTTAATTCATTACAGACTGAAAGGTAAAACTTGCACCTTGGTAGAAACTTACTTAGAGCCTCCAATAAGATATACTCTGTGTGTGGCTGGAAAGTATGTGACATGTGCTGGGTGGCAGTGAGTGCAGCCCACTGCCCTCTCCATGACCACCGCTCTCCAGGACCGAGGGGACGTACTCCTGAACAAGGAGGCGCAACATGGAGCCGGGTTGGCTGTTGTGGCCCAGTGACTCATATCTAAGGCTTAATGTAACAACTTTGAAAATAACAGCCAGTTACATGCCCTTGATTACTGTGTTTCATTCTTGGAAAATCCCAATTACAAGACCCCTATTGTTGGTCCTAAGAGAACTAACAAAGCTCTACATCTTTCCACATGCGCCCGTTCAGTGCTGGTTTGAATGGAGCCCTTTCTGGTCTGGTCCTCTAATTCTAGTTGTTCTCTGTGTTAGCACTGTCATTTCTTACCTCTCCCCATTTTACATGTGAGACCATCGAAACTAGGAGAAGCGTAGTAGTATGCCCTGAACTGCTACCAGAACATGAAAGCGCTGGGTTCTTTTTTTTAACTAAAAGTATAATTTTAACAATCTGTGATTTCCTTCACCTTTCAAAAATATATTTTGTTTCTTTTTGAGATTTGTAATTTAGCTCAATTTCTCCCTTTTTTCCCCTTTCTACAACCTTCCCATATCCTCCTTCCCTCACCCCTTCCAATTCATGGCTTCTTTTTCATTTATTGTTATTGCATGAATATATTTATACACATACATATTTGTATAGAAGTATATATTCACAAAAATATAACCTGGGGAGTCCATACAATGTTACATATGTGTGTGTGTATATATATATATATATATATATATATATATATATATATATATATAT